AGAGCCTTGAAAAATAAATTAGGTGAATCACCTATCACTTTGTAGTTTCTATTTTAAAAGATCTTTTAAGGCATAAAGCTTGGTAGATATTTTGCAAGCTGGCTTTGGATTTTCTGTAAATCAAACTCATTGCATCCTTGTGGACACAATCCTACATCAAAGGGCTAGATTTATATCTTCATGTATGGCTTGCCCTTTAAGGACCAATATGAAGGACGTGTGACAGAGTGGTGGTGAAAGAGGGTCCCGTCTATAGACAAACAAAACCCGCAGCTCCTGAAGTAAAAGAGAGCTGTAGAGCCAGCAAAAAGGTAGTACTTATCTGAAGCAGACTTCTGATTTTGGTTAGAGCTGCTGAGATCTAAGTAGGGGTTACTTTTTCTAAGGCATGGCTGAGAGTTTTAAAGATGCAAATTGAGGCTTTCCAGGTTCTCTTTCCATGGGAAGAGGGTCAATCTGTGACACTTGTATTAACCACATATGAAGTCATAATATCATCTGCAATCATACAAAGTTCACAGGAAAACTTTGATTTATTATCTTTTTCATTTTTTTTGTTCAAAAGACAGAAATGCCAGCCCATTCCCACAAACTCTGTTGCTTGCTGCATTAGTTTCAACATGCAAACAATTAGAAACATCTGGTTTCTTCTTGAAGCAATGGTTGGCTTCTTGCTGTTAAACTCAGTGGATGGGTTGCAAGTTTAATCTACCTCATAAAAAAGTTCAGAGATGATCTGGTACACCAAGTGCTATGAACCAAATGGCAGAATGGTGCTGTTCTTGACTGGGTGCATCTAAACTGTACAATTAATGAAATTTGACAGCACTTCAACATGGTTTGGTGCTTTGGAATTGTGAGAACTGTAGTTTGGTGAGGCTCCAGCACTATTTGGCAAGGACCATGTAGAACTACTACTCCCATAATTCCACTGCATTAAGCTGTGGCAGTCCAAGCGATACCAAAGTGCCACAGTATAAATGCATCCTCTGTGGAGCTGGGGGAGTTGAGCCCTTCTGCTAGCCCTATGTATTGTACCCACTTTTAATATCTATATCCACAGATTTTAATTAAGTGCCATATATAAGCTGATTAAGATGGTTGCATATTCTGAACTTTCTGCTTTTAATGTTTTGAGCTTCTGATTTTAATGTTTCAAACTCATGGTCTGTGCCCATATAATAACATCCATGCATTAATTCATTCATTGTACTCACCCACACCCCCATCTCCATGAAAGGAGTAGCAAGAGAGAGATATGACAGAAAGCAATGAAACCCTTGTGTCAGGTATGTTAAGGTGCTGAGAAGAAACTAGAAGCTCAAGAAACTTCGTTTCCTTTAAAGGAAGGGAACAAACACATCCTATACTTGAGCAATGCCACATGGCAAAAGATGCCAGATTGCAGCATTTTAATACTGTAGTTATGTGGTGAAGGAATTTAATTAGTGGGAGCTTGCAAGACAAAGTACAACTAGGGTGCATCTGCACTGTAGAATTAATACAGTTTAATGCCACTGTACCTACCACGGCCCAGTATTATGGGATCCTTGAAGTTGTAGTTTGGTGAGACACTAGTGCTAGTTGGCAAGGGCTAAAGATGTTGTAAAACACTCCCATAATTCTATAGCAGTTAATCATGGCAGTTAAATGGTATGAAACTGCATTAATTCTGCAGTGTAGAAACATCCCACCTTCTACTAAAGCTATAACAATCCTCTCCTTTCTTTCATCTGGTCACCCTGTCTTCAATACAGACTATAATTCCCCCTACTCTTACCTGCTAGGCTTTAACCTTCATAGAGGAGGGAAAAGAAAGAAAGAGTGGTAAGGAGATGGTACACACATTTTAAAAAAATTAAACCCTCAAGTTTAACCATTTTTTTAAAAAAAGTTCAGATAAAACAGATACTATTGCTACATTTGTCAAAGGCACCCACATTCAAAAAGTTTGGGGAAGACCTATTTTGCCTTCTTAGAAATACTAACTTCCAGAGCTTATCAGCTGTTTGAATAAAGGGTGGATGAAAGGCATGGATGAGGATAGCATGATTTGACTAACCTGTCAAAATTGAAGAGGCCAGTTTATTTTAGACATCTTCCCATATATTCTGCCTCCCTCTGCTCTTATATACTGGGTTTCAAAAAAGATTTGTGTAGCTGAAAATGTGAATAAGCCCACTTATATTTCATCTGGAACTGAGTTGCCACATATAATGCTTCCTCCATTTTGCTCTTCTCTTAACTCCCCTTTCCTGCTCTAGCTGTATGCCTATATATGCCTGCCAACATAGGACAGTGCTCTCTGGACCTGATGAGGCAGACTTTAGTCTACCAAAGCGTATGCCACAAATATATCTGTTCATGTAAGGTGCTGCTAGCCTTGTCGTTGTTATGATTTATGAGATTAAGAAGTAACACAAATAATAGATAAGGGCAGATAAAGGTCACACATTAGCCCAGCTACTTACAGGAGATGTTTGTTTTTCAGATGAAAGCAGGATATGGAGATCTATTCCACCAGCTATGGATTTTGAATCATTGTACAGGAAAGCCACTTGTCCCCTCCAGTGGTAGGAAATGGAATTGGAATTGGGTGCTTATGATACTCTAATGCTGAGCTTTCCAAACATTTCATGTCCGTGACACACTTTTTAGGCATTTTGTGACACAGTAATTCAGTTTTGCTGACCGAAAGGTTGCAGATTCAAATCCAGGAAGCGGCATGAGCTCCCGTTGTTAGCCACAGCTTCTGCTAACCTAGCAGTTTGAAAACATGCAAATTGCTAGGTCAGATCAATAGGTACTGCACCAGCTGGAAGATAACAGCGCTCCATGCAGTCATGGAGCCACATGAACTTGGAGGTGTCTATGGACAATGCTGGCTCTTCCACTTGGAAATGGAGATGAGCACCAACCCCCAAAGTTAGACATGACTGGACTTAATGTCAGGGGAAAACCTTTACCTAATCCAGTTTTAATAGTAAACCAGAAATTAAATCAACCCCTTATAAGAGAGATGGGCACATACATAAATTCTAATAACAAAATGTATGTGGACACAACTTATCTCACAAAAAAAATTCTCACTTATTTGACATGTTATATTCAAATGGCACACCTATACACTGTAGCCAATACACTTATATGTCACAACAGTTTGTAAAGCTCTGCTCAAATGGGACCGAATGTATCATGGTGAATGTTTTAGTGGACCAACAAAAATGCCATAATATTCCCAATTTCATATGTTTGTGCCTGTGAAAGAGTGACACAGAAGAATACTGACAGGAAGAAATTCAACTCATTTAAAATGTGGCATAAGTAGAGAGTTCTACAGACTCCATGGGCTTCCAAACAGTGACAAAAATGTATTGTCGAAGACTTTCATGGCTGGAATCACTGGGTTGTTGTAGGTTTTTTGGGCTATATGGCCATGTTCTAGAAGCATTTTCTCCTGACGTTTCACCTGCATCTATGGCAAGCATCCTCAGAGGTTATGACCTCACAACCTCTGAGGATGCTTGCCATAGATGCAGGCAAAACGTCAGGAGAGAATGCTTCTAGAACATGGCCATATAGCCTGAAAATCATACAACAACCCAGAGACAAAAATGCATCAAAGAGCAAATCAAGTTCAAATTCTCACTATAAACCAAGATGAATAAACCAAGCCTGTTGTACTTGAGATGTATTGTGAGATGACATGATTAACTGGAAAATTCAGTTATGTGGAATGGTAAAGTGGAAGGCAGCGGCTAAAAAGGAACACTGCATTACAGGTGGATCGATTCAAGTAAGGAAGCTGCAGCCCTGAGTTTGCAAGAGTGAGAAGGGCAGTTGATGACTAAGGCTCATTGAGGTCTCCCAGCCATAGAGCCACCATCAATCAAAGTTAAATTGACAGCAAATAACAACAAAGTCCACTCAAGTAGATACATGTGATGAAGGTATACACATAAGATCTCAGTGTAGGTTATAGAAGAGGTATGCGTGTGTCTGTGTGCATGTTGGGGACATGCAGCTTATCAAAGAAAAAAGGAGGTGCAATGGCAGTACTTCTTTCACTACTTAGAATCATTACAAGCAGGTACCTCCCTTTAGGAAAACACTTCATATATGTAAACAAGTGGACTCAATTCTGGCAAGGTTTGCCACACAACAAATGTATCAGTCCTTAAAATTTGTTTTTGAGACAAAGAAACACAGATAGCTCCCTTGAAACTGTTACAAGATATATTTAATTCTATTTTGATTGCCTCTCCGTGCATCTTAAAACTAAGATTAAAAAGTGTGTAGGAAGATTGGAGCTGGTTGACACATGGCACACTTCACACAGGGTTCCTGCAAACTATGCTGTTAAACTACAGGACCCTTTGCAATCTCTACCACTGGGGGCGTGGCCTTCAAGAATAGCTGTACTTAGCTATGCCCACCCTCTTTGCATTGCCACTCACCGTGAGATTTTAAAACTGTTTGTTTGGGCTTTACCAAAGTTGCTTAATGGTTCTGAAAATCAAAATAACTGTAGGAAACATCCGAGAATAATTCCGAACAATGGGTAAGTGGTTCAAATTCGAATTGCTCCTCCCACTTTTCCTGCATGGTTCGAATTTGGTTCAAAAATCCAAATTCAGTAGGTTTTTCTGAACTGAACCCAACAAGCCTACTGTATAGGTCTTTTCCCTTTCTAAAAGACCAGATCGAAGGTTTAGTAACTGGCAGTAAAACCTTTTGTCTTTTCCCCTGTCCATGTCTTTGAATTTGAATTCAGTCCTCAGACTGGAATAACTTCTCAAACTTTAGCGTATAGAAAGACATTTGCATGGTCAGTCATTGAGTGATTATTTTGAATACCTTTGGACTAAGAACAAAGCAAAATCCAAAAGTCACAAAATACCTAAAATAGGAGGGCCATATCTCTCTTCTGCAGCTGCAAATCTGCAAAAACTTCAGAAGATGTAAAAAGAAGAGAACCACCAAGATGAGTAACAGAAAGATTCTGAAACGTGTAAAGGTCTTTCTTTATTTAAAGACAGATCAATGTAGTGTCCGCACAAAAATCAAATCAAATTTGATTAATTTCCCCGATTTGAACTGCTACAAAAATAAGATTGTACACGAGTCTGCCACTTAACAGTACAGTAAAAAGATGAAAATCTTGCAATTTCCTCATAGAAAAAAAAGAAAGGTTACAGCAGCCACAGTGATCTAATCTTACATATATTATTTCATTCAATATTTTTTTCAAAAAAGAATTCTTCTAAAATATGCCTCTATTAAAACACCAATTACAATGTTTAAAAAATGTACAAAAAATAATCTTAATCAGAGGTAACAACATTTATTTTAAAAAATCTGCTTACAAGGCAGCGATATTTATAATTTAAAACCCATCCCAGTAGAAATCTTTCCAAAAAAATGTGCAAACATTTGAGGAACTGCAAAAAGAACATAATATCCAGAGGCATGAAGGAAAAGAGGTCAAGGGAGCCATTTCAGACTCAAGAGAGCCAGGAAGGCTTCAGACGAGGCACTGTGAAGACAGGGAAAACCCAGAGCTCAGCGTGGCCAAGCGAGACTCAGCCCTGCCATGGGATTCAAGGTCATGGTCAGTGGAGGCCTCTCCCTCATGGATGCTGGACCCACAGTCAGTAGTGTTATGGCACTCTTTCCAAATGCCACGTATCAAAATGACACGGTCAAAGCACAATCATTCTGCTGGAAAGAGAAAATAGCACAGTTAGCTTTACATAGCACGAAGAGAGAATTGCTTCACTGTTGACTTCAAAAGAGCATTGGCTAAGCAGGAGACACAATAGAACTCTGCATGCAAGATAATTTGAGCAAGGCCTTTGTTATACATAATTTTTGCAGACATTTTAATATCTGTGCTTGCACTATTGGTAGCAGCTGGCAAAGAACATTCTGCAAGAACAATGATGGGCAACCAGCGGCCATCCAAATCTAGGCAGAGTTTTACTGGCTATACTGGTTAGGGTTTGTGGGATTTGTGGTCCAGAAAAATCTGGGAGACCTAATTCAATTTACCTAACTACATGACAAGTCATGTCATGGGTGATCACTCATGGCTGATCACTTGCGTCTTCCAGAGGTAGTCTTAGCAGTGAATCCATAAGTTACTGTAAAGACTGATTCTGGATCTGCATGATTTAGATTTTGAGATAGAAGGCAGTCCTGACAAGGATTTGTCTTGGCATGTTTCTTCCTCTTGCCCTGTATCAGCGCCCCTTCAATATCCATAGCACTGTTGGTAACAGCTGCCTGCCGGTTACAACACTTGAATCATAGGACTTCTCAATTGTTGGTGTTTACATCACATTTTTTGGCTGGCGTTAAGCCCATCTTTAAATCTCTTTTGTTGTCCCCAACACTCTGTTTTCTGTTCTTGAGCTGAGAATAAAGCTTTGGGAGACAGTGATCTGGAATTTGGACAACATGGCCAGTCTAGCGAAGATAATGGTGGAGAATCATGGCTTCAATGCTGGTGGTCTTTGCTTCTTCCAGAACATGGATATTTGTCCACCAAGAGATTTATAGGATTTTTTTTGGAGGCAACACTGATGGAATCTCTTCAGAAATCAAGAGTGACGTTTGTAGATGGTATATGTTTTGAAGGCATACAACACCGTTGAAAGCTTTAAAAAAACAGCATCTTGGTATCCCTAGGAATGTCCCAATTTCTGAACACATTCTGCTGCATTTGAAAAAAAATGCTGCACTTGCAGAGCTCACACAGTATTGTATTTCGGTGTCAATGTTGTGGAGAGGTGGCTGCCTAGATAGAGGAAATGGCCAACATTTTCTAGCATTGCACCATTAAGCTTCATTTCTGGCATTGCAGGGGGATGGCTTGGTGCCAGCTGGCAGAGCACTTTAGTTATCTTGATATTTAATGAGAGGCCAAGCTATGAATATGCTTCTGCAAAAGTATTTAAAGTGGTTTGTAGGTTTTCCTCTGAATATACAGAGACTATTATCATCAGCATATTGGAGTTCTATAACAGAAGTTTTGTGACCTTACTTTTGGCTTTCAACCTGCTGAGGTTAAAGAGCTTGCCTTCTGTCCAAATGCTGATTTCCACATAGCAAGAAATTAGGAGAGGAAAGGAATTTGGCCATACAAATGACTAGCCTCTGTTAGAATTGTTTTAGTATGGCTAAACCATGTTGAGAATGAAGTTGGCCTGAACAATCTATTTTGCCTCAAAAATTTGTGGTTTTCAACACTCAGAGCAGGATAGAAGTCCAGTCCTTACTGATCTTGGTTGGGGAGGTAATTGGAGAGGAAGAAATTAGGTCAGTCAAAGGCTAGATTATTACTTTTGGCTTATGAAGTGAACATTTGGCTGATTTCCCAGCTACAGCTTACTTTAGAGAGAAAAAATGTAGGAAAAAGTGGGAATTAAAAAATTTATTTGCCAGACAAACTTTTACCGGCTGGATACAAATTGTAGCAGCAGAGAAAGATGCTTAAAGGCCTTATTGGCAGCTACCAACTCAAGAATCACCATAAGGCTAGCGTGACTACAAAACAGACTTTGAGAATTGGGGATGGCCTTTTTTCTGGCTCTCAAGGCTAGAAATAAATTAATACTTTACTAAAACTGTTTTGGATTGATACTGTGGTTTACAAAACGAATAATCTTCTAGTATTCTGGTAAAAATGGAAAAGTGGTTTGTGACAAGCTGCAAATGGAAGTTTGCTGTTTTCTCCTTTCATGTAAAACAGAAGCAGGGAGAACAGAAGGCAAGGATAAGGATATCAAGCTATATTTTCTGTGATGCACTACAATTCTTTAAGTCATCTTTTAAGTCAAGATTGGCACACCTACCTCCTCCATTACTTAGTCTGTGTCCTACTTGAATTTTTCGTGAATTTCTGTCACTGTAACTGCTGCAAAGACAATGAACACATCATCAGATGGAAATCACTATGAGCTAGACTGTGTTTGTCCTGTAATTTTGGATTCCACAATCATCTGCATCAACATTTAACAGAAAATACTGGTTGCTGCTAAATCTAAATGAATAATTGCTAATTACGCTAAACCTACTGAATATATGGAATTTATATACCTGTCCCATTCAAGCAACTGATTTAAAGGGTACATTTTATAGTAAGAGAGCATATTTTCCCAACCAGACTGTGATTATGTGAAACCAATGAATACAACTAAACACTATTAAATTACTTCAGTTCTGGTCCCAGCATACTATAATTGCATTGGAGGACGTACAGATTTCTAAGGGGGTATACACAACTCTATGATAACTTGCAAGAGAAGCACCAAAGCATCATCTGAAAGATCTAGAAAATGGGTGCAGGTAAGTGATAAGGCAGATACTGGTTCCATGCTTATGGGGCTCACTTTATGTGGGGAAAGCAACTGTTTACAGGGTGGTGCATTCACAACCAAGGGTTCTTTCGTACTTCTCAATTATAATGCTATGATTACACTTTAACTGCCATGGCATCTTCACAGGGAACCCTGGGATTTGCAGTTCAGAACTCTTGGAGAGTTCTGGTGCCTTTCCTAACTACAGATCTCAGGATCCCACAGGACAGGAAGCACTCATGGAAGTTAAAAGTAGAACCATAGGAATATAATTACTAGTGTGAAGATCATGATAATCCATGAAGCACTAATCCAGTGGTTCTCAATCTGTGAGTCCCCAGATGTTTTGGCCTTCAAATCCCAGAAATCCTAACAGTTGGTAAACTGGCTGGGATTTCTGGGAGTTGTAGGCCAAAACACCTGGGACCCACAGGTTGAGAACCACTGTATTAACCTATGAAGCAGAAGAAGCTGTCCTCCCTTTGAGAAAGAAGAATTACAGCTCTAGGACAACACAATGAAAATGGCTAAGGGCCCAGTTCATACACATTTCTTCTACTTCACTTTCATTGGATATGTACTTCTTTGCTATTTACTTAAAGACGTATTTTTGATCCTGATCCAAAGGTCTCTTAAAAGAACAATAAAATTTAAAAATACTCCTAACCTGCTTCCACAAAGACATTTTATGTATTCACAAGGCAGGGATAGGAAACTCTTCGTCCCCAAGCCAAGTTAGCTTGAAATATAATAATTAGAATTCAGAAAAGGGATCTGCTTATCGCCATTCATTTCAAAGTTTCTACACCCAGAACTGCAGGATCAGCTTTAAAAATCTGAGAATGAGAAGGAAGCCCTTGAACAAAACAACATTACCCAATACTCCAAGTTTGCTAAAGAGCTGATCTGCAATCTTCCTTGGCCCTTTCTTGCTTTCCCTTCTTTCACTGGAAGAAACCTCCCAAAACCCCAGCAAAAATACACAGAAGCTTGAGTGTAGAGCACTCACCCCCTTCCACTCTCCAGAGTGCTTTGGATTTCCTTCAGAACATCTGAAAGGAAGAAAGAAAGCAGTCAAGAGAAGTGAGTGAACACAGATATTGCTAAGCATTGATGATTCAAGAGCCAGTGTTGTTCCCTTTGTGTCCCTTTGGACCTGTCTCTTTCAAATGCTATCCTCCACAGACAGGTGACAGAACGTCAGCCATGGACTCAGAGGGCTTAACAAATTTTATCTCCAGTGAATGGTGTTCTTGTCACATAAAGTTCAATCCCACACACCAGCAATATGCTTTGGGTATAGTTCTGAAAATAATCAAAATCTGAGGCACTTTTTTGCTGCTCAGGCTAGATGAATTCACAAGACAATAAGTTTGCTCCAGAATTGCCAGTGCTTTGCAACTGATTTACTAAGAGTAATACCAAACTTAAGAAAAGATTTTATAGATATTTTAGCTCACTTTGCTCAGATGGGAAAGAATTATACTCTGTCCTAAAAGCTTGTAAATTTAAAATGGCAAAAATCAGAGTGAGGGTGTGTGAGATAAACAAAACTTTGTGGTGCAATACATGAACATCAACATTCAAAAATCTTGTGTTATTTTCTTAAATGTTTTGTCTGGTGAAACCTTCAACTTGAATGAACAAACTCCTGCAAATAACTTGCTTTTCTTCCCAAAAATACCCAGGATGTGATTACCTGAATCACAAAACAAGAGTCTCCATGTATTTGTTCCTAGCTTGCAGTGTGCCAGTCTTACCTCACAAAAATAGTTTTCCTAAATTCTGGATTGAATACTGTGCTCAATTCAGAATTTATGAAAATGACTTTTCTGGAGTAGTTTCTATAACTGATCTCAAAAATGACCATGTGAAGACTTTTTTACATCGTAATATTTAGACTAGGATGTGGGAAATGTAATGAAACTCTCTGGGTGATCTTGGGCCAGTTACTCTTTCTTAGGCCCCTTCCACACATCTGAATAAAATCCCACATTATCTGCTTTGAATTGGAATATATGGCAGTATGGAATCAGATAACCCATTTCAAAGCAATTATTGTGGGATTTCTGCCTTGATATTCTGGGATATAGGGCTGTGTGGAGGGACCCTTAGTCTGACTGATGTCACAGAGCTGTTGTGAAGATAAGAAGGGAGTGAAGACAGTCACAAGCTCCTTGTAGTAAAAGTAGAACAGGAAAGTATCTTAAATACAGTCATTTCCATTAAGGTTACTATCTTACCCGTGAACCATATAAATGTTTAAATTTTGCAAAGCTTTTTATAATTTTGGGGGTTGTTCCTACAACATATCTCATAATTTCTATCATTGTAAATTTGCAAGGGATGGTGAGACCATACTCTGTGCTTTTAGTGGAAAGGCAACAGATCAGGTCTCAAAAACATCTAGAAGGGTTGCTTGAAAAGGGTGGTATGTAGATAGTGAAGACAGTTACTAAGTACCAATAGGCAGCTGTATACTTAAGACATATAAATACAATCTTTACCTATTGGGGAACACTACCAATTCCTTTCTTGTCCAAATTGACTAACACCCACAAAAATATAATCCAAAGTTAGATGGCTGCCATGTAGAACCACAAGGTTAGATCTCTACAGCAAGCCCTTCACATTTATTGGGGTTCAGGACACAGGACTTTCATGAAAATAAAAAACCATGAATAATGAAATTGCTAGTTTTAAAAAACCAAGAGAACACGTCTCTAGGAATTTCTTCTAGCTAGAAGGTAACAAGTATAGACTCGTACTGGAGGTCATAGAGATTACTAGAAAGGTGTTCACTCTAGAAATCTCTAGATTGTCCAGCATGACTAGAGGAAGTTGACCTGAGAATCACACTGTAAAGTAGTAGTTTCTCAACCTATGGGTCCCCGGGTGTTTTGGCCTACAACTTCCAGAAATCCCAGCCAGTTTACCAGCTGTTAGGATTTCTTGGGAGTTGAAGGCCAACATATCTGGGGACCCCCAGGTTGAGAGCTAAGAATTCATAGATAATACATTTAAATTAAATCTGTGAATGATCAAATCCACAAAAGCAAGGGGACAACTGTACAAACAAAATATTCCAGCAGATTCATGCCTCCTCCCAAATGCTGATCTCATCACCCCGTTATGCAAAGGAATTCCATCTTACTTTCATCATTGAGCAGAGCATGTTCCATCAGCCTGCCAGTTGGCTTATCTAAAAGACAAATTGTCAGACAGGTTGAAGCAGTCAATTCCTCCCCTGACCAAAGCAGGATTCTAGATATCTAGCAACATTTTATTTTAGTCCAGTATAAAAACCGTATGATTATCACACTCTGTTCTAGAACCTGTTAAAAATTCTATGAATTAATGACACCTTGTTCCTCTAAATCAGTGCTGCTCCAGGTGTTTTGGACTTCAGCTCCCAGAAATCCCAGCCAGTTTACCAGCTGTTAGGAATTGTGGAAGCTGAAGTCCAAAACATCCGGAGGAGCACAGTTTAAGAAACTCTGCTCTAAATGATGATAACCCAGCCTTTCCTAGGAAGAACCGATTTTAGATTCTAACATTAGCATTTACCATCTCAGACTTAAATACAGCCAGAAAAAAAGCAAACAAATATGAAGCTCTAAGTTCTGGGAAGATATATTTCTTCTTATTGATGGGAGTCAGCAGCCTTCCGGCTACATCTCAATTGAATTGCTGAATTAAACTGTCTTCATAAACTGTACTGTTAAGAGCAATCTAATTTGGATTCTAATTTACATTACTAGTCAAAACAATATGTGAGCAAAGTAATATCTGTATATTTATTTTTAGTCACCTTCTCCATGTTGATCACCAGAACTCCATCCTGAATCTTTGCTATAGAAGAAAAAAGAAGAAAAAACAGCCAGTAAAACAAACAATCATGAATGGGTTTCATTTGAACTAGCTAGGTCAGATACAACTAGTCAATTCTTGTACTTGCAACAAGTGGACTTTTACTGAAGTCATAGGCCCCTTCTACATTGCCATATAATCCAGATTATCGAATCAAATAATCCAGGTTATCTGCCTTGAACTGGATAATATGAGTCTACGCTGCCATATAAGCCAGTTCAAAGCAGATAATCTCAATTTATATGGCAGTGTAGAAGGGACCATGGTTGATTTACAAAACAGAGGAACAGCAACAACAACTGGAACTGTTCTAAGCAAGAAGGAAAGGCAATAATAATAATAATCCTTTATTTATACCCCGCTAACATCTCCCGAAGGACTTGGTGCAGCTTACAAGAGGCCGAGGCCCAACACATCAATAAAACAACAGCATAACAAATACAACAATAAATAAACTCATAAAACAAAACAATAAACATTAAAAGACTAGCAGTAAACATTAGTCAATAACACCACGATGCATTTAAAACTAAGGCCAGGCCAAATGTAATGATTACAAATTTTAAAAAAATGCTGGACATGACAGGTGAAATGGATAGGTTTTTGGAGATAGGTGCGATGTGCAGACAATCTTAAATCTCTAGTAAAGTGCATGCTTGGCTCGCACAGCACTATTCTGAAAGGCATTTGTTTCTAAAAAAAATCAACGTACCAAAAGATGTGTATAGAGCAATTCTAATATAAAAGAAATTCTTACAGTATTGGGAAACAACAGTAAAATCATAGAATAATAACAACAACTACTACTTTATTTATATGCCACCATTATCTCCCAGAGGGACTTGGGGCAGTTCACAAAAGGACTCAAAGTGCAAACACATCAAATACATTATCACAATTAACTATAACCACATAAAAACCATTTAGTTTAAAATCAACAAAATGCAACAGTAGCTAC